GATGGGGATGGATAGATGGGGTGATGGGGGTAGATAGATGGGGTGAAGGGGATAGATAGATAGATAGATAGATAGATAGATAGATAGATAGATAGATAGATAGATGGGTGGATGGGGATGGATAGATGGGGTGGATGGGGGTAGATAGATAGATGGGTGGATGGGGATGGATAGATGGGGTGGATGGGGGTAGATAGATGGGGTGGAAGGGGATAGATAGATAGATGGGTGGATGGGGATGGATAGATGGGGTGGATGGGGGTAGATAGATAGATAGATAGATAGATAGATAGACGGGTGGATGGAGATAGATAGATGGGTGGATGGGGATGGATAGATGGGGTGGATGGGGGTAGATAGATAGATAGATAGACGGGTGGATGGGGATAGATAGATAGATGGGATGGATGGGGATAGATAGATAGACGGGTGGATGGGGATAGATAGATAGATAGATAGATAGATGGGTGGATGGGGATGGATAGATAGATGGGATGGATGGGGGTAGATAGATAGACGGGTGGATGGGGATAGATAGATAGATGGGATGGATGGGGGTAGATAGATAGACGGGTGGATGGGGGTAGGTGGGCAGACAGGCAGGTAGATACCTAGGTGGGGTTAAAATGAGTCATTTTAAATTGTTGGACGTCGAGGAATTGTATTTTCTAAATGAGGAACAATCTTTAGTTTAGGGGAAGCCAAAATGACTTTCCAGCGGTGACTGTTTGTTTCACTGCCTGACAAGTCCAGGGCGTCTTTTCCTTCTCTTCGGGCCCCCCCCCCTGCTCACAGCCCTGTCAAATCCCCCCAGTTAGAAACCACAGCTCTTTTAGTATTAAAGGAAGAACAATAAAACAAAGGGAGGCGTTGGGTGAGCTCGGTCACGGGCTCTTCTGGTTGACTTTCGGTGGGGCACATCGAGCACAGATTGTGCCTGGGCAGGTGACACCTTTTTCTCTTGGGACGCTGAGACCAAAGTCTGTTATTTCCCCAAATTCTGGAGACTCCATTCGGAGCCTCTCGCCTGCCGGCCTGGAAGGATCCGATTTTATCGGTCAACCTTGGTAAAGGTCCATGTCGCCCCACACAGACCAGCCCACGGCCCAAGATCTCCACCCGTGAGGATCGACACTTACAGGTGGGCAGCTGCTTGTGGACCGAGCAGCGTCTGATCCCGCGCTACGCGCCTTTGGCCCTGCGATGGTGAGACCGTTTGTGCTTCAGCGGCTCCACAGCTTTCACTTTTCGAATCTCAGCGTCAATAATTAGCGTCTGGTGGCCCGTTATTTTGCACAACTGTGAACCTTAAAATTGATAAACATCGAAAAAAAGGCTTCCAGCCCCGTCATTTCGTGGACCTGTGAAAACGTAACGTGATAAAACGCGAATAAAAGGCTTCAAACTAATCAGCGATATTCCCTGTCACCAGGAATCGAGTTCTGCCAAGGCTGCTGCTTGGATACCTAACCACTGTTTCCGACTGAGCACAAGAATTGTGTTGACCAAATTCTGGAGCCTGCAGGTTATTACTAAATAACCCAGAGAGTTTATAATTGGGCAGAGTGAGAAGCCGGGGAAGGAGGCGTTTTGAGACAGGCCAATTACAAATATTAAGAATCAGAAATCCAATTAAACCCACTATTTCTTTGTGAACCAATGTTTAGCCCCTGCCTTCTTTCCCGGTTCTAACCAGCTGATGATTAACAGGACAACGGCTTCGTTATTTCAGATACGACAGTGTTTTCATCTCCCAATCTGCAGAAACAGAAAATAACACAATACAAAAAATTCACTGTACACAAAAAGCTAAACACACAGAAAATAACACAATATACGCAGGAACACACAACGTGCACACACAACAACTAAACAAACATCTACATTACGTACAAAACATTCACAGTACACAAAATACCTAAACACACAAACAGAAATAATGCAGAACACGCACAAGGCATACACAGTACATGTACACACACACACTCACACACAGAACAACCAGCATGTGTAGCCCAGGCTAACAGAGTGTGGCACAAAAGGGGAGAGTGATAGTTCAGTGGTTTGAGCATTGGCCTGCTAAACCCAGGGTTGTGAGTTCAATCCTTGAGGGGGCCACTTAGGAATCTG